ACAAGAGGAAAAACCACAATAACAACACTGGTCCGGCCGGGTTGAGTCAAACGATGATTTTAATGATCACACGCGTGGGAGATGGACACCATACGCAGACAGCATCAGATCTCAAAATGGTGGAGCATTGATCAAACTCTTATAGCCTCTAGTGGCCCCCACCTTATCATAAAAGCCTAAACATTCACATGCTTTCTCTCACACAGCGCCTAAGCTACGACCTTGGCTCCCTGTTTATCTGCTCCTGCTGAGATGGGGCAGAAAACCTCTCCAGCATGTTCTGTTCTCTTTTAATCAGACAAATAAGGCGATGACTTTCTGCGAACAGTATTTCTTATAATTCAGCAGTATAATGCATCATAAAACAATATCATTCATTCACAATAAATCAGCAGTCTACTTTAATGCAAATCAGTCTAACAAATGCAATAGTTATTACCTTCTTCTAATTCAGGAAAATAATGCAAACTAAAACTACATAATAATTCACAATCTTTAATTAGGGGTCTAACATGGCATAAAATAATATTATAATCCCACACTACCAATTGGTTTACATCTGTAATGCCAAAAAAATCCACCAGAAGGCACTGTGAATGTGAACGGTTGGCTCTTCTTATACCTCTCCTAACCAAGAAGTCAGAAACAAAAAAACATCCAACATATTTTGAGTGTTTTTGATGAAACTAAGGTAGGAAGATATAATTTTTTGATACATGGTAGTGTTAGAGGACTTACTAAAAAGATGTATGTCACTTGACAGCATTAATAAGCATGACAGCATTGAACGACTGGCGACCTGTAGCCCTGACCCCCATCGTAAATGCTTCGAAAAGCTGGTCAGGAACTTTGTTTGCTCTTCACTACCCGACTCACTGGACCCTCTACAATTTGCATACCGCCACAACAGGTCCACTGATGAGTGGGGCTTTAAATTGTTCTGCCAAGCAAGTTCATCTGGCATCATCCATGACTTGCTGCTGTATCAAGGGGGATCTACATTCTTCAATTCTCCCCCCAGTGAAAAGGAACAGAAGCTACCTTTAAGGGGCCAAAGTTGTAAAAAACACTATGCAAACCCATAAAAGAACCTATTCACAAGTTTCAGCTTGGTGCAGAACTTGCACACCTGTCAGGTGCATTGGCACTGTATGACCAAACTGCACTGGTGGAGCTCCCCCGATAGCAGAAAAACCATGCTTCCCACACTAAAACCAAAAACCTGATGAAGAAGGGCCATGGAGCCTGTTATTACAGGCTCTGATAAAGGTCTGATTGCAATGAAATGGTTTGAAAAGAGATGTGTCAACCTCCTAAACAATGCCTGTGGTTCATTCGTCAAACGGTGGAGCAAAGAGTCCAATGCAAAGATTACCATTCCATGCCCATCACTCATCCCTGTATATAATTAGCATATAAGAGGAATTAAGCTTTCTGATATGATATTACACGAGTTATAAGTTACAGAGATAGCATATTCCACTGTTCAGATACATCCTTGACTTGAATACCTGGTCTACAAGAGGAACTGTGCCCTACTGGATCAGAAACCGATGGCTCTCAAAAGGTTTCCACCTGGCTGTGTGAACCAAGTTAACAAGCCAGCATCTAGAGTTGGACAACCATGATCCAGCTCTCCAAGACCACAGAATAAGTGCTACACCATAGACCAAAACCACAAGCAGATGTGCTTGATTTCCACTGTTTTTATTTTTAATTTTTGAAACAAAATGATTTTGCACTGTAGCATTCAATCAGAAGTGGTCTGAATGTGAGAATTTTGTGCTGTTGCACACTTGTCACATTTGCAGATTAAAAAACATGTATTTTGTTGTTTGATGTAATACTTTCCTTTGATGGGATGAAAGCCAGCAATGGTCACTGGCATGCTACTAGAAATAAACTGTATCCCTGGATACAGGGATACAGTTTATTGTGCCCTGGATAGTTTGTTATTAATTTAATTATAATTATAATTAGATTTTTTCAACTGTATTATCTAATGTACTTGTATTTGCATGACGTTTCATACTTTTACCAGTGACTTTTCAAGCATTTGGTAGAGATCAATATTTTAAAAACTACAGGGTCTATTGAAAAAAAATATTGATTGTGGTTATTACTCACCCAAGTCAATAAGAAATACAAACAAAATATTTTTCCCTTGCTTTTTTCTTGGTGTGGACGTCAAAGGGCGTGCACTGCTTATTGTTTTGGTGTGATGGAAATAAAATAAGAAGATGTGTTAACATTCACATTCTGATCATTTGCGTCTCATAGCGATCGTGGAAAACACATGACATAAATGATATCATGACTACTCACTCAGTGGGTTTGGGCAGTGTGAATAAGCTTCACATTGCTGCAGGGGAATCAACAGATGTAACGCTGCCACTACAGGAGGTGAAACACTGTCTAAAAAAAGGCTGATGTACAAAAGTAAAACAGCTGTGGGATTTATACAGGTGGAATTTAGTGAATGAATCTGAGCACCATCAGCTTAACTCAAATTCATCTCTGCTACACTTAATGTAACCGAACTCTGAGCATGAAATCCATCACAGTGCAGCAAACTAACCTGTTTATTCTGCACTAACATGCAACCTTTAAATAAAAAAGTTAATCTACCTCAGTAAGGCCAATCACGGCAATTAATTTACCAAAGGAACAACAATTACAGATTCATTAACGCACAACTTAATCACATAAAACAACAAGTTACAACTGCAATGCTCTGCAGCAGCTCCGAATATCTGCTCTGCATGGTAAGCATATGGCCACTGATGCAAAGTTCCTTTGGGTGCACTTGATTCTTACCTCTAGACATCCCAAGGAGGGCAGGGAAATCTGATGCCTCTGTTATGTATGAGACTTGTGGTACTGAGAAAGTCCAGTAACTCCAGCCGTACTTATCATGTCAGCTTAAGGATTTATTGCTTCCACTTAACGACGTAGCAATCTCTTCTCCAAATCTTTGTCGCTGGCATTATCGGATAAGGGCGAGCTCAACTTCCAGAAGATCTTCTGTGGATAGACCACACATTTGTGTTATCGTTACCTTTTCTTTTGTACATCTTTTACAGGTACGATTATTTGACTTAGGATGACCGTTTCCTTTTTTTTTTTACATCCTATTCCACAAAGGATTGTTTTCATTTTAAGGAACCAAGCAACAGCAACCTCGAGCCTCTTCCACTCTGAGAAGTACGCTATCAATCAACACATAGCATCAGAAAAGGCTTGTACTTTAGTAACATTTACTGTGGACTCACCTTTGACTTCAGGGTCATCTGGTTCTAAGGAGCTTTCCATTACATTGGTAGTCCAATCAGTTTTTGGCTTCTGAAGGATCTTTGGTCCTTCGATTCAGTGACTGTTATGATAAACGTTCCTGGCCTTGAACCCTCTTGTAGCATCATTTGCTGGATTTTCCGTTGAGCCAACAACTAAACAGTCACAATGGTCACAATAAATGAGGCTATTTGCCACAAAGGTAAGGAAATGTTTATCTTTATTCATTATATATTTGAGTAAATTCCCAGTACGTGTCCTTACATCTGCAGCAAAAGCAAGAAAACAATCACAATCAAAGCTCTGTCTCCCTTAGTTCTCAGCCTAGTATGCTGTATAACAAGTAACCTCAGGGACCAGCTAGGGATAGAAGGTCAATGATATAAAATGATGCTTGTGCATTAACAGCTTTAAAAGTCAGAACTAGAATCTTAAAATGGACTCTGAATTCAATGTAGCTGTATTACCAATGGTGTCACATGCAAGTACTTAGAAGATTTGGTCAGGGGCCTTGCTGCAGCGTTTGAAACCACCCGCAGACATTTAGGCAAAGTTTTTGAAATCTACGAAAGCCACACTGAAACGACAAACATCAAGAATGCTTCATTTGTCCAAAGCTGTTGTGAGCTGCTTAGCCACAACCAGGGTTGGACTGGCCATCATTTTTCGTTTTTATAGGCCGATGGGGTTTAATTTCTTTTCTTTTTTTAACGGTATAAATGAATGGTGGTGGATTGGGCAGTTGGTCATGATCGATTCTGGGCTGGACCAATTACAGCCAAGGAGGTCGAACTGAGGTTTTTTTTTGCTGCTGTTTACATAAAAATGCAGCCAAGGCATTTTTTTAAATAAACATTTCAAACTATTTACAGAACAATCAGCTGTTATGCATCAAATTTGATGCCACAAAAATTATTTGTGCCACTGCAAAAAAAAAAAAGATTCTGTCCACTATAAGATAAAGGAGAACAGCCTGATACCTGCAGGCCTGACAACAGCACATGTATCACTCCTGTAACATTCAGCAGTCGCCTCATTGTTCTGACACACACAACAAAACTATTGGCTACACTACACACTGACTACACAAGATTTGCGCTAAACGTCGCAAATCTGTCACATCTCAAAACACTGTCACCCCTAACCCCGCCCCTCACGTCCCCCTTCCTAAACAACTAAATGTCATGTTGCCATATCATTTTTTTGACTGGTCGACATTGTACATACAAAAAACCCCACCCTTCGGAAAGGGTGGGGTTTTTTGGGGTTTTGCTCACAGGCTTTCGAGCGTTTTCCTTATAAGACGCTGTTTTTCCCGTTTCTTGCCACAGTAAATATAAACAACAATAGTATTCAGGATGAAAACCAAACATTGCATATATTTTTTATCATAACTCTGGTTTTACGTGGCCTATCAACACAATTTAAAAACTGGTATAAAGTCCACACTTTTTCCGTCAGTTGTTCCGTGTCTTTCAACATGTTGCACATCTGATGCACATTTAGATGTTAACGCTGTCTCTGTGCGATATAAAATAGTTTAGAGAAATAAAATACAGAACTAGTTTTAGAGTAGACAAAGAAACTTAGCTCTTCCAAGTGACCACAGTAGAGCTGAAGTGGAGGGGGCGGGGCCGACCAGGGTTTGGCCAGCTGGTTGTGAATGGGCAGGAGAGAAGTGACGTATCAGGAAGTGAAATGCGAACAGAAGTAGATGGCGGGAGAGCGGAAATACGTTAAAACAGGCGAAAAACGACAAGCAGAGTGAAAGTAAACCTGTAAGGTGGAGGAAACGGACAGTGAGCGCAGTGTAACCGTGACAACGAGACACGAGGACGGATTTAAAGTGATCATAAAATCGTCTCCAGACGGTCGTCGTTCGGTGAGTGGAACCGGATTCAGCTACAACAGCGATAAATACGCCTGTAGGGAGATGAAGAGTGCTAAAATACTGAGAAACGGCTCTCTGATGAGTGTTTGCAGGGATGTGGTTCAGCAAGATAAAGACACACGACTCAGTCAAATAAGCGTTAATGAACTCCACAGTCTGCTGCCTGACAACAAAAGAGCGTCTGTGGGGGTATGGGGAGTACCTGAAATAGAAAAAAGAAAAGAAAACAGGGAAAATAGTGCTGGTTTAAAACGCATATTACAGGGAGAAATGTAACGGCAACGGCTTGGCTGCTGTTATTAAGTTTTATGAGCAAAGTAAGATGTACAGTGGATAAATTAGCTATGAGGTTAGACCTCCCCACCACGGAGATGGTTTTGTTCTGAGATGCTGTAAGTATCAAAGCAGCTCAGATTACTTGTTTCTGTTTTATTGGATTAAATAAGAATGACAAAAGTTTCACTGTGAGGACGTGATTTAAAGATGACAGAACATATACATTGCACATATATCACATCATATCATGAGTTGGATGCAGTAATTTGCTAGAATTGGAAGAATTTGTCAGGGAGAGCCACACAGGAAGTGTGTACCTGATTTCCCTGCTTTACTCCTGTCTGCACAGGTGACGATAATGGATCTGTTTGCCAAATGCCATTAAGCTGTGAAGAACGAGAGGTGCTGTGGGTGTGTGGCCATGGCTGCTGTTTGATGAAGTGGACTGAACTTAAAGGAGAGACACAAATTAAAGTACTGATCCCGTCACATTAGTGCGGATTTGGTACCAATACCACTGTCGGTATCGCTTCTATCAATGCTTGTATCGATCCGCCCAGCCTGAGTTGAAGCAGCAATGAGTTCAGCTCAGTATCTGAGAGAGTTCATCAAGAAGAGACTAACTGCTGTTTGTGAAGAAATCTTCTCAGAGGTTCAAAAAACCATCGTCCAGTATGAGGAGGAGATCAACCGTCAGCACAGACTGCTGGATATCAGCCGGAAACCCGACAGAAACTCTCACATCATAGGTATGGACATGTTTTTAACTCTGTGCTGTTCAAGCTCAGATTCTTCAGCGTGACTGATTTTACTAGAAGAAGTTAAACTGGGTATTTATCAGTGCTGTGGGTCAGTGTCCAGTGACGGGCTTTGTTGGAGTGGTGCGGGTCCATGGTCACTGCTACATCCACCAATAAGAGACATCACTGTTTCTGTTTAGGGTAGGCTGGTTCTTTTCTATGATAATCATTAATAAAAGGCTTTAAAAAGTAAAATGAAATGGAATAAAACAAGCTTAATATCAGATTCAAGATCACTTTATTTGTCACGTACATAGTTGTACCAGTTTAACACACAGTGAAATGTGACCTGATACGCTCCTCAACTGTGCAAAATAGAGAGACAAAAAACAATATATACAGTAAGTAAGTAGATATATACAAAGAGGACATTACGTGTGATAAGTGAGTGAATTATGTACATTAAGTTAGAATAAAACAATCTGGACATTTATAGTTCAAAATTTGGGAATGTATATTGTGTGAGTGGGGTGTTAAAGTGGCTTGTGATGCAATGAAGTCAGAAGGATCAGGCGTGAAATGGGAATATGTGAGTCCTGTCTCAGTTTATTATGGTTGGTTGGGGGGGGGCTGAGTTAACACACAGATGGCCTGAGGGTGGAAGCTCCTCTTGAGCCTCTCTGTTCTTGTCTGCATGGTGCAGAACCTTCTGCCTGATTGCAGAAGCTGGAACAGTTTATTGCTGGAGCGGAACGACTCCTTCAGTATTTGAGCTGCTCTAGTCCTGCAGGGAGGGGAGAGCAGTCCTGCAGCAGCGTTCTGCTGTACGGATCACTCTCTGAAGAGCTTTTTGGTCCTTAACCTTCCTGCCTTCTTGGGACCTTTTTGTGCCACTGCTATGTGTTAAATGGCTGCCATTTCCGCTGTGTTCAGTGGAATATAACCAAACTTGCCACAGGATAGTTTTTACCTGTCAATGTTAATATTCCAGTGTGAATTCCTTAAATCAGCCTAAAATGGCTGAGCAGCAGAAATCCCCACACCCATCACCCTGGGGACCATTTTCTGCCCATTGACTTCCATTATAAACGCTATTTTTCAACCCCAAATTATCATTATATGATTTTATTTTTTCTTCTTTTCTTGGATGTCAATGAAGACTCAGGGCCTTGAAGTTTGAATTTTTAAATTGCAAAAAAATTGCAAAAAAAATAATGGCAGGTCAAAATGTATGTTGGTGCCAATCTTTGGTCCATCTAAAGGCCTACTTATAATTACAATCACATATTACTTCAACTGGTTTTTTGTGGAAATATTTAGTTTCGTTTTTTGGTTTTTGGGGCTTATAACACAGGGCGCTCATGTAATAACACTGGGATTTGAAGGGTTAAAACAACGAAAATATAATTAAAACTTTACATGAATATTTCAGGGAGAAGTAGTTTTACAAGGTTGGCTAATTTAAAGTGGAATAAAATATGGATATATGGTCTTTTTATGGCGTGGCTGAGAATGGTCCCTAGGGTGATGGGTGTGAGTTTTTTAAAGGATGGCAGGAGGGTTAATACAGCTGTTCCCATTACCATAATGTGATGTTCTGTGTGAGGATGCTCTACGCAGCGCCTGTATAGAAAGTCCTGAGGAGCCCCGGAGAGACCCCAAACGTCCTCAGTTGTCGTAGGTGGTACAGGTGCTGCCTAGCCTTTTTGGACTTGTGATTTTTGTAGACTGTAAGTAGAGCAGGGTGATATGACCAAAAACATTTATCACGATATACATTTGAAAATTTGCGATAACGATATAACTGACGATATAATTGACACTAGACAAAATACTTTACAACTCCACAACTTTATTAGTGCAAAAAAACCCATCAATGTATTTTCACTTGAACAAGCAGCTGTTTTTATGTGCATTAAAGTTATATAAAAACATAACAGTGGAAATGAAAATTCCTTGCTGACAGTTTAACCAAAAGGCATTTCCAGTGAAATGGGCTGACATATTATGACCATAACCATGTATAATATCCACAAAACTTAAAAAGAGGTTACACACACACACACACACACACAATGCAGCACAGTACATATCACTCCGCGAGGCGCCTACCTACGATAGCCGTAATACTCCAACAATCCATCAAGTGGTGCGGCTTCGTAGCTTAGCAAAGTCGCACTAAAACATTTGACAGATTTTCGAGTGCCGTGTACATAAAATCATTTCGAGGTCAGTAAACACAACCAGAATTCATACATAAGGCACACGGGATTATAAGGGGCACTGTCGACTTTCAGAAAAATCAAAGGATTGATTTTAAGTGTGCTGTATTTTCCAAACAACATGGTAATAACGACGGCCCGCTAGCACGCTCTACCAAAAATAGTGGTTTGTTGTGTGTCTGACGGACGAAAGCTAAACCAGTTCCACACCAATGAAGTTGCAGCATTTTTACAAACCAGTTCTGGTTCATCCGTTTCATTCAACGATCCGCTTTCGCTCTTCTCATTTTCTTCTCATTCTGCGTCGCCACCATGTACGTATGTAAACAAAGGCACTGCGCGTGCGCGTTTTACCATATTCTATCGCGATATGTCATTTTCCTATCGTTGCCCAAAATTACACCGGTATTACCGTGAACGGTATGATATAGCCCAGCCCTAACTGTAAGCATATTGTGCTCTAAAAATTTACACCAGATCATTTCAAATGTGGAAAACATTCCTGCAAAAAGCTGCAGTGCATCAAGGCATGTGAGGGTGCCACCAGGGAGCGCTTCAGCTGATGAAAATATTTTATATTTATGTAGTTTATTTAACACGATCAACATCTCACTGTGACACCAGTCACGCCACAATCTGAGCTCACTGTCTCTAAAACATTTGTGTGTAAATGATCACCATTTATTCAGGTTTTGATTCATGCTTTTGTAAAATAGTGTTGTGTGTGTGGTTTTTTTTGTATCAACACCTTCTCGATTATTGTTCCTGTGTTTCTTTGTTTTCTCAAGGCCTCCCACAACAGCATGACTGTGAGGAAGAGGAGGGTCTGGATGAGGAGCACGTCTGTAACCAGCAGAGGAACTCCAGTCTGGACCAGGAGGACCCAGACCCTCCACAGATTAAAGAGGGACAGGAGGAGCTCTGCAGCAGTCAGGAGGGAGAGCAGCTTGGACTGAAGCAGACTGAAGGCATTATCGTCTGGACTGATGAAGAGCAGCTCAGACTGCTGGGGACCATCTGGAAACCTGAGATAAACTTGCACAGAAAGGGTATGTAAAACTGTGATGGGCTTAATGACAATGAATATGACTCACGTAGGATCCTAATCAGAGCTTAAAGTTATTTTTTTTGTCTTTTTAGAGGCACAGGAAGAATTGAAGGTCCAACTGTAATAAGCAACATGAAGTCATACTACTGCTTGCTCATCATCACCTCTCTCCTTAACCTAACTTCTGCTAACGTTTCGCATATCTGGCTTATTAACTGTAGTTACTACAACCCTGCACGCGGCCCTTGTTCCTGAAATAAATACCAGTCGATTTCTCGTTTCTACAGAAAAGCAAAGGGGCCAGTAGGAAAATAAGGAATGGGGGAGTCACATCCCTATATTTAACAATGATAATAACAAAACTTATTTGTATAGCGCCTTTCAAGAAACCCAGGGGCACGGTACAAAGGAGTTTAAATAAATCAATTTATAAACATACAAAAATGCTAGAGTTTGAAAGGCTTTGTTGAAGAGGTCAGTTTTACGTTTCTTAAGAGTCCAGTGATGAGGTTTTGCAAAACTAAGATGGGAGAGCGTTTCAGAGGGTCGGGGCTGCCACACAGAAGGCCCTGTCACTAGAGGTTAACGCGAGGGACAGAACGCAGATGCGAGGCAGAGCACCATAGTGTCTGAGACTGTGCGTTTGGCTTCAGCAGGTCGCACAGGTATTGAGGGTCGGGGCAGTGAAGGATTTTTGAGTGAGATTTTGGGGGCCACAAACAGGAGCACTGTTTTATTACTGTTTATATTGGGGGGGGTTAGATGGCACGTGATTGTGAGGGTAAGTTGTGTATCTTCAGCATAGAAATGGAAGCAGAGACCATGGTGGTGGGAAATCTGAGCAGGGGGTACATATAAGCCCCTTTTCCATTAATGCCTATTCAAATCGACTCTGCACGATACGCCACGACTCAACTCAAATTGATCGATTTTCCATTATAACCAAGTATGCGTGTGTGGTGAACCGTGCCAAGTCCAGCTGAGTAGGTGGTAATGAAGAAAGGGCATAGATGGTGAAAAGAAGAGGTCCATGCACAGACTCTTGAGGCGTGACAACTACAGCAGAGGTGGAGCAGACATCTTCCATGGTGACAAACTGTGTTGGTTTGCAGAGATGACACTGAAAGTAAAGTACCAGTGAGGTCAAGATAAGGTTAGCCTGTACTCTAACCTTCATGTTCCTGCCTTTTCTTCTCTAACAATGCCTCACCCACTCCTCTTCCTTTGTCTTTAACCAAGACACAGGCCTAAGAGTTAAGAGCAGAAGGTTACTGAGATTTAAAATGACACAGAAGTGACTACTATCAAGAGACAAGGGCTCAAATCAGAATATGTTCCTCAGATGTTTGGGTTGTTGTTGTTGTTTTTTTTTCTATCATTTCTCCCAATTTGTCTCTTCAGACCTCCGACACCAACACATTTGTGAGAAGGAAGTTCTCACAGACCAGCAGGTCTGTAACCAGGAGAAGAACTCCAGTCTGGACCAGGAGGATCCAGCGCCTTCACATATTAAAGAAGAACAGGAGGAACTCCGCAGCAGTCAGGAGGGAGAGCAGGTTGAACTGAAGCAAGAGACTGATATCTTCATGGTGACTCGATCTTATGAGGAAAGTGACCACAGTGAACCAGAGTCAAACAAAGAGCAGCTCCTTTTTCACAGCTCTCCTGAAGCAGAGAGCCAAGATCATGAAGACAAGCATGTGGACTCAGAATCAAGTAAAAATGCAGAGCTGAAGAAGAGGAAACACAGTCAGAGCTTGGACAACACCACTGTGTCAGAGAGTCAAAGTAAATCTGACAAAGTGAAAAAGTATGTACAATGTGAAATCTGTGGGAAAACCTTACATACATCTAATCTGACTGCACATTTAAGAGTTCATACAGGTGAGAAACCACATTGTTGCACCACTTGTGGCAAAGGATTCATTCAGAAATCAAATTTGAAGCGTCATTTGAGAACACACACAGGTGAGAAGCCATTTACTTGTAGCACCTGTGGGAAAAGTTTCGGTCTGAAACCAGAGTTGCAACGCCATCTAAGAATTCACACAGGTGAAAGGCCACATTGTTGTAACACTTGTGGGAAAAGATTTACTGACCTGTCAGGGATCATAGCTCACAGGAGAGTCCACACAGGTGAGAAGCGGTATTCTTGTAGTACTTGTGGGAAAAGATTCATTCAGAAATCAGGAATGAAAACGCATGTAAGAAGTCACACAGGTGAGAAGCCGTATTCGTGTAGCACGTGTGGGAGAAAATTTAGTCATAAATCAACACTGCAAACTCACGTAAAACTTCACACGGGAGAGAAACCACATTCTTGTAGCATCTGTGGCAAAAGCTTTGTTCAAAAGCCACACTTAAGTAGGCACATGAAAATTCATACTACTTGAAGTTTCGTGCTTAGATAAGATAGCTGTGAGTAGTAGTAGTAGTCTGTTGGTCATAAAGCTCACACTGACCAGAAGTTTAATGACTGCAACACTTGAGTGAAGAAGTCAGTATTTTTTGTGTAGAGCAGAGCAGTAAAAATAAATGTTTTTTATTTAAGGATGATACATTAAGATTTCTGCATTTCAAAACCTATCACAGCTGACGTAGGCTGATATGGGTATGCCCTGGACAGGTCAGCTCCTGAGCTAAAACATAGATGGTCAATTATTCACACCTATGGGCAATTTGGCAAGTAACTAATGCACCAGTTAATATAAAAAAGTATAAAATCAAACCCTTAAAAAACAGCAATAACAACAATATTCATAATAAAACAATCAGGTGTCACAATAAGATGCCTCTACAAAAACAGTTCCTGTCCACCACAAGACAGAGGGGCACATCACAGTCCTGATATTTCCGGGGTGTGTCACTCCTCTTGCTGTCCACCTCGAGACGGTGTATAAATAAGCGTTTGCCTTTAGTGCCTTTTTGGACGGCACCGTTGTCTGTGACAATGGGAACACAATCTTCTCAGCTCTTCTGCTGTGAGGAATGCCTGTCTCCATGCTGACACACCAGCTCCGCCACAAATTCTTTGTGTGCCATGGGCAGCACCTGCATGGCACTGATCGCCTCACGGTGCAAGATGAATGCTTTTCTTGTCTCAATCTCCAGGAAGTGTAAGAGCACAGTCCCGTACCTGCAGCAGTCTTGCTGTGGGTGGACTAATACTGAATGAACTGGTCTAGTATGTCAGCCCCTCTCACAGCCCAGTGTCCATCTGCATCCTCCACCTTTCTCTTCACCCTGGACATACAGGTGGATGGTGGTGCACACAGGCACCTCCCACGTGTCCATCCACTTCACAATATCAAGTGGGTCATCTCTGATCCATCTCACAGATCCTAATTCGCATTTTTTTTGTTGAGAGTATTTTCCCTCCCTCCCAGGCATTCCCTGTGTAGATACTACATGCACCACATCTTGTGCTGGTCAGATCCAGGAACATTTGGGACTGGTACAAAACAACTGTCCATGTAAACATGGCATCCTGTGCTAAGCAACAGCTGAAAAAGGTTCATCACCACATCATAAGACATAAGACAGCATCACTTGCTTTTAAAGTCTTAACAGTGTATGTGATGAATCTAAAGGTTGATTCAGCCTATGTAAAACCTTTCATCCCTCATTTAGTTGGTTTGTCCGTCATGTATTGTGTCATGCCAGGCTTTGCTTTAGGTGCCACCATCCTTTCATCAACTGCCAGTTCCCTCCTCGGGTGTTAATAAGCTGGCTGCCACAGAGGATTTCATAATTTTTTTACCATCTACTCAGGATCAGTGAGGTGGATGTTCCAAAATATGGCTCTGGACCTGTCTCTTGTCTATATGTCATTGATGGAAGGGGCACAGACAAGGCATGATTGTGTAGTCTTAGTCTTGGCAGCAATATGTAAATCCAGAGACCAAAAAGCTGATAGACATCTTCTGTTTCTACATCAGTCCATTTGTGTTCTTTGGCTAAAAACTGATTTTTTTTTTCTATTTTTTGCAGCATTTTGGTTTGTGTCAGCACAGCTTGTGCTGAGTGTGTCAGTGGCGAAAAACAATAAAAACGGGTCTTTTAGACTACAGCATTCTCTCAGTTGTCACAGGAGTTGCGTCCCGGGACCCTCGCGATAGGGGAAAAGTAGGAAATTGTGTCTTTATAGCAAAAATAATTAGAATTATAATCTAAAAAAAAGAAAAGAGAATACCATATCACAGGTTTCGGCGGCATAAAGATACTTTTTATTTTATTTTTTTAGAATAATTATTGTATATTCAAAAATGTATTAATTATTTATAATTTGCAATAATTATTATTGTTGATTAATTATTATGTTTTAATTAATTTATCGGGTTTCTGCGCCCTCTTTACAGAGGCCCTTGTTCTCTCAAAAAATTAGATTTGAGTAAGAGTACAAAGTCATTCTGATTTAAAAGCCAAGGAATAAAAATGGGTTTTTAGACGAGCTTTGAAAGTGTCCAATGTTGGGGAGGTCCTGATGTGGTGAATTGTTCAACCAATACTTTGTTTTTTTTGCCCCCGATCACAAGGGCATGCGCCGTGCTTAGAAAACCCTTCCTATCAACACAATGTTAAAACTGGTAGTTTTTAGTCTTCACTGTCAACTCAAATTGAGACAGATTCAGTGAGACTGCATCTTGCTACTTCATAATTTTAATTCCGCGAGCTTGTTTGGAGGCACTGGTGTGTCTGTCGACTAAAGACATAACTTTACCTTTGCATTTAAAATTTAGTGACTAATATTTTTATTTTTCAGTGGCAAAGTATTCAAAATCTGTGGGTCTTTAACTCTAGCAGAGAGCAGACCAAATGTGTCTACATTTTGGTAACCTACAATTATTAATAACTCTCCTTGTGTTTACACCTTTACTGCTGAATTTCCAAATCATGTAACTGATTTAAGGCCAAGGCCATTTACACATCTAAAGTACAGTTTTAATAAGGAAAAATGTATTTAAAAAAAGCATATTATATTATATCCTTCCTAAATTTTACAGTAATGCCACTGTACTGGCTGATTCGGTTGCCACAGTGTGAAAGATGTGGAAAAAGAATCATAGCATTAAATTTAACTGGGCAGCCTTTACAGGCAGATGATAATTGTACAAGTCAAACAGTTCAATATTTGTACAATCTCTTGTTTCGGGCATTTTTCTAAAATGGGCTTCAAATTATAATTGATGAGTCCGTATTACTTCCCAGCATGTTAATTAATTAACATGTATTTTTTTCTGATCAATAATTATGGAAAAACTATCACATAATTGTCTTATGATTGATTGAGAAACACGTTGACAGTTTTTAATTTTTTTTAATTGTTCAAAGACGAAATTATTTTGGAGTCACTGTGAGACACGAATCATGTGCCTGTTCAGTAAACCTTCAACCTTTTGAGTTTTTGCTGTTTTTAAATGATAATAGCAAACAATCAACTTGAACACTGCTGCTAAGAATGCAGATATGACTTAAAGCAGTTATATCCTCTCAGTATTGTTTATTCAGTTTATATTATTTATTTTATTATTGTATCAGGAAAATCCTGATCCTAGATTTGATGAAGGTTAAAGTTGGTTTGTTCTGATGGTTCATTGTTTAGTTCTGTTGTTTATTAGTGTTTATGTTGTCTTAAAGTTTAAATAAAAACTTGATTCAAACATCTTTTGAGTATTTTTTTTTTCTGAGATGAAACCTCTAATATGAAAGCAGCACATCTTTCTTATTTAACATAAGTTTGTTTCTGATGTTTTAATATAAATATAGAAAGTAATGTTTTGACTCTTTGGATAATCATGTCTCGGGGCATTGTACTTGGTATAAGCAGCACTGACTAACCAGGAATCCAGTGGTGGGAAGGGTCAATTAAAAGCCTGGAATGAGGTTTGCTCTATTTCTAAGTAACTCCCAAGTAACTGGTATCCTGATTAAATTACCTGGAAGAAATCGACTGGATGGCTGAACCATGAAAAATAGTGGAGGCTCTCTGATGATGGTTTCACTCATGTTTACAGCGCAGCTAATTAGAACACTAGATTTAGACTTTCTGAAGAAATTTTTGTTATTTTGCAATAAGAAAGTTGCACCAATCTGAAATTATATGCAAATAACTTGGAGTGATTTAAAAGCTTTTCTTCTTTGGGAATGCGCTTGGACTCTAGAACAGGGGTGTCAAGCTCCAGTCCTCGAGGGCCGGGTTGCAGCAAGGGACAGATATAAGTTTCATGACACTGGCTTGTGCTTTCAGGTGCATGATGGATATAGGCATATCATATGGAGCTGCTATGAGCTGAAATGGTGTTTGCCCCCTTGCTGTTTTTTTTTTTCTTTTAATTTTGTCACACTTAAATGTTTCAGATCATCAACTACATTTAAATAATAAAGATAACACAAGTAAACACTAAATGCAGTTTCTAAATTAATGTGTTAATTATTGCTGCTTGACCCCACCCACCATTATAACATAAATTAACCTTGGTGTACCACATCTTTGGAAAGTTTAGTTCTATTTCTCTAGCTGCATCCAGGCCTGAATACTGCCACACTTGTTCTTAATCAAGAAATCACTTAAATAGGACCTGCTTGACAAAGACAAGTAGACCGTGAGATTCTTAAAAGCCACATGTCTCGCTGTGATCCAAGGAAATTCAGGAATAAATGAGAGCAAAGTAATTGGGGTCATGCTCATAAACCTTCCAATGTGGCTTAAGCACATGAATTCTGCAAAGATGAGTAGACCAAGATTCTTCCACAGTGCTGTAAAAGACTCATTGACAGTTATCACAAACGCTTGATTGCAGTAGATGCCTTTAAGGGTGGCCCAACCACTTATTAGGTTTAGGAGGCAATCACTTTTTTCACACAGGGCATGCAGGTTTGGATAACTAACAGGTTTGCTAACATGTCCAGAACTGAAGTGTTCTAGTTTTTATTTGAGTATGAATTTATTTCAACAGTCTGAAAGAAATTCTTTCTAAACAAAATTTGTTCCATTGAATTTAAAGTTTACCCCAATATGTAGCAATGTTTTATAATAAAGTTTTAGTGTAGCTGCCCTTTAGTGAGAAACAAGAAGATTGTGTTTGTGACGTGGTTATTGATGTGGTCTTGCTGCACAAAGGCTCTGGTTCAAACTTCACGCTCAGCTGGAGCCTCTCTGTAGAGTTTACCTTCTCCCACAGTTTAAAAAGATGTGCTAAATACCTTAACTAAAAAACGTACCACAGACATTAACATGAGGAAACAGTTCTATTGAAAACTGATCCACAGATTGTCTGAGATCCCCAAGGTAACATTTTGGTAAGAGCTATGAAGTGCTGATCACATAGAGCTGCTGTACCATTATCGAAAGCTGAGCCAAGGAAACATGTTTCTACAAAAGACTAAAGCTACAACATTTAATAACAGCTGCTGCTAATCCAACATGGTTTACAATCCTACTGTTACTGTTAATTAGACACAAAAACACCCGAGGTAACTATGATGTATTTACTACCATGCCTTTTTTTTTGTTTTTTGTTTGCCTGTCCCGTTTGGCTCTTTTGCCATCAGAATTATTGTCTAAAGGTAAAGAAAGATGCCCAACAGATTTACTTTACCAAACTGACCATCCCAGCCTTGCCGTAATGGTCCATTTGATTCACCTTTTATTGTTTATTTTATTTTCACTTACTGAATACGGGACAGACTTGACTGGAGGAAAGAAGGGGAGAAAGAAAGAGGGAAAGAGAAACAGCTGAGAAGAGGGACGGGGGAGAAGGGCAAAAGACAAAAACCAACAGAACGGGCAGAGAAAAAAAAATGCATATATCAATCACCTGGATCACCTGCTGAGAAAGAAAAAAGAAAACAAGCAGAAGAGAACAAGAGTAATAGAATAAACAACATCACAATGATATATGGGAATATGACAGTAAATACTAAATATTAAACATTATTGTGCAGCTCATAAGATCAACAGAACACAGTGTGCTTTGAGGTAGAAGCCAAAAAGGGTGTAGTTTGTGGGTGTGATCACCCATGTGTACACCTGTGAGCATGGACGCGCTTGTTTTTGTTTTTTTTAAAGGTTCCTTCATGTAATGATCTGCTAGAGGGTGTGGGGGGGCCACAGCCCCGTCCTCCAGGGCATGAAGCAGGTATGGAGGAGATCAAAACTCCAGACATCCAGAGGCCCCCAGAACACAAGAGACCAAGGAAGACCAACAGAGGGGCAGCCGCACCACTGTCCCAGAAAGAGCTGAGGAGAGTCCCAGATGAGGCTCACTCAGCAGCCGTGGAGCAGAAACCAGGGGGAGTTGCAGTGACGCGCCCGTGAGCTCCGCCGGCAGCCAGCCGTGCCTGAGTGACCGAGCCCCAGGCCGAGAGGCCGGGGGCACCCCACCTCCGAAGTGGCCCGAGCAAGCCCCAGGCTCCAGGCCCCGATAAGCGGCCATCAAGGAGTGAGCCGGTGTGTACCTGGACGCCCACCCCCGGACACAAAGAACCACCAACGCACCGATGTCTGAGGGAGTCCGCCACTGGCAGGGAAGTGGTGGTAGGGGGAGATAAGCCTCCAAACCTTGGAGGGCCTGAGATGTCCCCAGAGAGGTGGCGTCTGATACCCAACCTGACATATAGACACAGACACAAACATCCATTCCCACCCTCATGCTCTCATGTGCACTCCACACTCAACCAACGTGGAGACAGACATAAAGAGACGCTGTACACACGATCATACTCCCCAAGCGTACTCTACCAACCGGGTCTAGGTACCCTTGCCCCTGGAGGGGGGAACTGCACCCAGACCCAGGTGGTGTTATCCTTTTCCCTGCGGTGGGGAGAGGCAGACCGCCCCGACTCAGCAGCAGCAGGGAG